CCCACACGCCGCTCTCTCTCTCTCTCTCTCTCTCTCTCTCTCTCTCTCTCTCTCTCTCTCTCTCTCTCTCTCTCTCTCTCTCTCTCTCTCTCTCTCGCTCTCTCTCTCTCTCTCGCACTCTCCTTCTTTCCTTTCTCTCTGTCGCGCTCGCTCTCTGCATCGTAATTAGTCTACGGAAGCCATTTGTGGATAACGACATCGACGTCGTCGCATAACACATGTATATTATTAGCTGTTGGCCAGAACAGGACGTCGGCTTCTGGACACGACGACGTCGAAGTCAGTCGTTTACGAATGGCTTCCGTAATCATACATGTATTATTAGCTCTTCTTCCGATCGATGAGATCACCCTCTGGTGCACGAATCTGTGCAGTTTCGATTGTCGCCGCGAACATCGTGTGAAACCACTGATCTCTATATACTAAGTTGTTTAGTAAGTTACTTAGTTAATTAGTCAGTTACTTAGTTAGTGAGTTGCTTAAGCGGGGGACACACCATGCGAATTTCGCTGCGATCATATCCGCAGCGAAATTCGCGGCGAAAATATTCGCACTCGATCGCATGCGATAATTGAGCGGACACACCATGCGAATTTATTCGCACGACCGCAGCGGACACACTAAACGGGATCTACTGTCTGTCTTTACTGTCTGTACGCAGCGGTAAAACTCCGCAGCGAAAATATCAAACATGTTTGATCGCTGCGAATTTCGGTGCGGATGAAATTCGCCCGCGCTTGAGCGTACAACGCCATGTGAATTCCGCGGCGGTTTTAAAATCCGCTGCGGTCGTGCGAATAAATTCGCATGGTGTGTCCCCCGCTTTAGTTAGTAAGTAAGTTACTTAATTAGTTTGTTAGTTAGTTAGGTATAGTATACAGAGATCAGTGTGTGAACCCCCTCCGATTACGCGCCCGTCTGCGTGCGCGCGTGCTGTGTGTTTTTAACCGTGTTTACAACAACAACACGCATCAACAGATGTTCGCATCGACGTGTTACTTGGCGCATAATGCGATGCTAGTGTGGTATAGAGCGCAGGAGTGTGTGAGGGGAGGGAGAGAGAGAGAGAGAGACAGAGACAGAGAGAGAGAGAGAGAGAGAGAGAGAGAGAGAGAGAGAGAAGAAGAGAGAGAGTAGTAGTAGGACGGGGAGGGGGGAGAATGGAGAAAGTTAACATAAAAATAAACAAGATTGAATGGGATTAGGAGAGACAGATCGCGATACTTAGTGATAGAGAGACAGATTGCGATAGTGATAGAGAGACAGATGGCGATAGTGATAGAGAGACAGATCGCGATAGTGATAGAGAGACAGATCGCGATAGTGATCGAGAGACAGATCGCGAGAGGAAACAAGAACGGGAGACGGAGAGACAGCGGATGACGAGAAATGGAGAGAGCGGCAGAAAGCGAAAGAGTGAGGAGTGGGAAGGAGATGGAGAGGGGGAGGGAGATAGAGAGAGGCGTGAACGATTATTGCTATCGATAAAGGAAAACCTACATGCGCGAACATTGAAGCAAACGGTATTGTGCGAACAATGCTGGATTTTATTTAAATACGCCAATAAATACGTGATTTATTCTGATAAAGATGTCCGCAAAAGATATACATTGTTGATGGTAAAGCTTTTCACGATCACTGACAATGTGAATGCGTGCGTAAGCAAAACACAGAATAGTCTGTAGCGCAGGCACATTTGGGTAGGGCTCGGATTTAACATGTCATTTCATATAAACGTCTTATTCAGAATTATTTCATCATTTACCCATATCATATTATGTTATAACAATATCAATAATAACTTAAATACATGATTTTTGAACTCATACATGTACTGATACCTGTCTACCTATACGCACAAACGCACGCATGCACATATGCACGCACGCACGCATGAACACATACATGCACACCACAGGCACTTGGAACGTCTCAATGAAAAAAATAATGGTAAATAAACACGAAATGTATTTACTACCAGTCTTAATGTTTCTCTACTCTATTTCGCCTATTATTGTCGAAAACTTGCTGTAAATACCGTTCAAATGCTCATCTGCAACACACAAGTACACCGCACGCACCCCCTGTGCACAAACAACAAGAATAAAAGGGGACTCGTGTTATTTACGATTATTTTTTTTATTGAGACGGTCCAAGTGCCTGTGATGCACACATGCACGCACGCATGCACACATGCACGCACGCATGCACACATGCATGCACGCACGCACACGCACGCACGCACGCACGCACACGTACACAGGTATGGGAATATGCAGTTGCACAACAGCTGCATTCCTTATAACCGACGTAGCGACGCTGTCTGTCAATATGGATGACGTGTCTCTAATATATTACCTACTACGCTTGTATCAACGCATGTGCTGCAATCAGTATGCTTGATTGGCACTCGCGATGTTAATAAATGTAATGATATGTGACTATATTGACAAGCGCCTGCGACATGTGTCGTAGTAAACACGCTTACTATATATATATATAACCTGAAACTGGACGGATTGTATGAGATCTGAACCATCACTACGACTACACTTGCCTTTTTCATACGTTCGGTGGAGGGGCCTCCCTCGAACGCTGTATTCATACTCTCCCTCTAATACTTACTGCACTCCTACTACGTATCAGCCTGTAACTGGCTACTACCCTCCTTTTCTCCCGTAACTGGTTTTGGTCTTCCTTTCCCCCTGTAACTGTCTTCTCCCTTTCCCCCTGTAACTGTCTTCTCCCTTTCCCTTTTCCCGTATGTGTCTGGGTGTCCTTCTTTACCTTGTATAACTGGCGTCTGTCATTTTTCCTCTCGTGACAGGCTGCTGTCTTCCGTTCCCCTTGTAACTGGCTGCTCTTCCTTTTCTCCCGTAACTGGCTTCGTTCATTTTTGTCTCCTGTAACAGGCTGCACTCTTCCTTTCCCCCTGTAACAGGCTGTGCTCTTCCTTTCCCCATGTAACTGGCTGTTCCCTTCATTTTCCCCCGTAAGTGGCTGAGTGTCTTTCTTTCCCTTGTAACTGGCTACGCCCTTCTTTACCCCGTAACTGGCTGCGCATCCTCCTGTAACAGGTTGCTGTCTTCCTTTCCCCTTGTAAATGGCTTCTCCTTTCTTCTTCCCCCACGTAACTGGACGGATGTGTCTTCCCCGTTCCCGATACGGGCTGTACATTTTCCATTCCCGGAGGAAAAGAACCCGTCCCTTGAAATTTCCATGAATTCCCCGTTCCCCTCTCGTAGCTGGATCGGATGCCCGTTAGACGTTGGATCGGATTAGCCGCGTGTCGCGACTCAACTCAACAATTTCACTCGCACAATTGCATCCCACTAGCACATATCTACGAAAGCCTAGAAGGCTCATGCGAAATGCGAAATCTGAAGCAACCAATCAAAGAATGTGTTGGTCTTGACGAATCACATGGCCGATTATTATAATTACTACAAAGACAAAGATGGCGGCCATCTCGATTACAAACAATGTGTTATAAAATCTTTAATTCAATAGCACTAGCATGTTACCCGTCTTCGAAGGTTTTTTTGAGGTGTGCATATTCGTTGTACAACAGTACAGTAGACTTCCCATTAGTCGTCACACCTCATTGTTTGTAATCGAGATGGCCGCCATACACATAATAAATATACACATAGAAAAATTCACATAAATATACACATAGAAAAATTCATCTTTCTAGTGCTCCCGTCAGGTGTTTTCACCTTAGACCTCGTAATCTTCATCTCGAATTTTGCATTTCGCATTTCGCAATTCGCCGTTCGCATTTCGAATTTCGCATGAGTCTTCTGGGCTTTCGTACATATCCCCTTCAATTGCTCTACGACATTTATGTGGAGCAACGAGAGAACACCGGCGTGGTTGACAGAAAGGAAGTTGATGAGCGCCGCATCCTCGTTAGCCATTGTGTTGGTTTATGGTGTGCTATACTTCTTATTACGCTGTCGGGCTGTGCCGTGCTATACAGTCTGGTATCCTACTATAGTCACATGACCGATGACGACACTACATGCGTTTAGCAACGGGTATGACGTCAGACTTGATGACCTCATCACAGACGCTTAGCAGGCAATAGAATGGCAAATCGGCACACGTCATCGAAAACGTTTAGCAGACGCCGTGACATCGATACGGGGGACGGCCGCCACGAACAGTTAGCAATCGATGTGTCAATTCCGTAGGCGTCATCACATACGCTTAACAGACGACATGACGTCAGTTTCATTAACGTCATCACCGGCGCCTAGCGAACGACGCGACATCGGTTCGATGACGTCATCACATATGCTGAGCAAGCGACGTGACGTCAGTTCCACGCGTTCTGTCTGCTCATCTCTTCGAACGTCATCGACGCCTGCACGCCTGGCAGAAGCTTTCTCTCCCACATCTCTAGCGAGTGCTGAAAGCTGGCGCTCATGTTCACAGTCGGCCATCGCTTCTTGACGAGGTTGAACGCGCAGCGCAGCGTCATGTCGTGGTACTTCATCATGTACTGTATAATGGCGCAGGTGGCGCGCGAGTCGCCCTCGAGGCTGTGCACGAGAACGTTCTTGTCTTTGCGACGCGCCGCTTCGATGAACGTCGATATGTCCTCGAAGTACGGCAGCATGTCCGTGTTGCGACTCTCGCCAACCCCTAACCAGAGACGCGCGCGCGGGTGAGAGGTTTCGAGCGCGCACGTGCACGGACAGTCGCTCTTGCGGTGTCGCGGGATCTGGTGCGGCTCCATGTTGGAGATGTCGACGATGCTCTCGATGTTGAGCTTGCACAGCAGGTGCTCGTTGTAGGCCGTCTCTATGTTTCCGATGAAGAGAAAATCGAGAATCTGCGAGCAGTTTTCGTCGCGGTAGAAGTTCTTGCCCGCAAGCTCCTGCAATGCGTGAATTTTATTATTCGCTCATGTTAATATTACCTGATCTAATGTTGTTTCTTTCCCCGACCTTGTGAGATAGTTTCCCGAGTCTATTTCCAATGTTTTTTTAAGAGACCCGACAAAACAACGATTTATTTATCATTATAACGCTTATTATTGTAAAATAGTTGGTCTGCGACTAAATAACGTGGTAGCAAAACGGCATCGACGATTTTGGTGTTTTTAGAAATTCGGGAAAACTAGGCGCTTCATGATTATTAATTGAAGTGAGAGATTGCGTTGTCTCCGCACCGCTCTACTATAAGTGTATAATTTCAACAGAATAATATTTCTTTTAACATTTAAACTGCAGGGTGTCTTATAATTAATACAGGCAGACACTGCAATAGACAATTATCATATAATTGTACTTGTTAGTATATCCTCTCGACTTGCAATCAATCATTTTCAAATGTTCAATATAATATGTCTTTTGCCCATATTGGGCATGCACAAACACAGACTCCTGCCTATGATACAGTAGGCCTACATAGAAATGCTGGAAAAGTTGGCGCCTTATAATTACTAAACTTTGATATTTGGATAGATATTTTTCACGTTGTTACTGTTTATTGGGTAGGTTAAAGTGAGTTCTTTCAGCAATAGATAAGTAGACACGACAATATTATTGTAGATAACGGACATGAATGCTTTTGCCAAGCACCAATTAGTAAACCATACAGTTGTTAAGAGATAAAACGACTGATATTCCTTGGATAATTATGTCCATTTCAACGTTCTCAGTCGATCTCAGTTCTTCTTGAAAGGGAATATTAGTTTAGAAGATACGCGATCAACCAGCCGGAGCGAATCAAGCAAATGAAAAGACCTGTTATGTAGTGTAATCATAAAAATAAATTCTGTATGAAGTCCCTTAACGTAGAGATGAATTCCTCAGTAATTGGCTATGACAAGGCATATCTCACCATGCATCCAGCGTGGAACCTAATGCTAGGGGCACACGAGCGTATTTTATCGCCCGATCGCGGCGATTAAAATCGCAAGCGAATTTAATCGCCCGATCACGAA